TTGATTGAAGCCTGGGCCTCGGATGAGAACTCAGTCAATCGATTTATCGATTGGGCACCGGCATACATCGCGCTGCTCAGGCATCTCCGGGATGATGACACTGTTGGTTGATTATTCTCGCACCCTTCCCCCTCCCCACATAACGGTTGACTGGCCCTTGCGTCCTATGACTGTTGCTTGTCTTTCATTTACACCTTTTATCTCTGACGATGGACTCTAGAAAGAGCCCGAAAGCTCAAACAAGTATAAGTATGAATTCGGCGATCGCAACGCCTTCTACTGGTCTTACTGACTCTTGACTTGCGGAACCGTCTGTAGTCGATTATCACTTCTGCGACATGAGTACCTGGAACTAGTACTGTGTTGAGTATAGGTTCCAGTCTACAATCCCCCAAAAAATTGGACAAGAACAACTGGTCTGTAGTAACACCGGTCACGAACACTCATTCAAATAAGATAGGAGGAGATTAGTTGGGGTATTTGGCTCCCCTCCCATTAAGCGTCTGTCGTTACTTGCATTCCGCGTTTGTGTTTTTGCCCCATATAACAGGCAGCGGGCTTCGTCTATTTTTGATATTTTTCTTAACGTTTGTGTATTTACCTATCAATAGCTGATGTACCAGCTTCCGCGTTCACGACCATTGATGAATCGACTTTCTGACAAGTACTTATCAGTACTTTCCAATTAAACCAAATGGCAAATTTGATAGTAATTATTAGTCAGGTATATTTTTGATCTGTGTGGCGCTAAATCGAGAAGATATTGGATTATGCGGTTTGATGACAAATCACACAAATCGATTGGTTGCTAAATTTAGCAGTCCACAGAAGGCAAACTGCGTACGACGGACTAGCATGTGCTAGAATCATGGAGTTCCGATTCCTTTGTCCGCAACATCGGCCAAATTATCCAGTATCATCTTAGCGCGATGTTCTGCAACAAGCTTGTTGTGACTTGCAACGTCTTCGCCAACAAAATGAAGGCACTGTGGGTCCTTGTCCAACCAGACGTGTTTGCTGTCCGGCACGACCTTCCAGGTACCGTCCCACACCTGCTCACAAAAGTCCTGTGCGCTGGTGAATACTTCATCGATGCGCTTGCAGCTGAATCCGGGATGACACTCGTTGATGCCTGCGCGGATAAAACATATCTACAATCAGAATATAAGTAGAAAAACGTTGCGTTCTCCCGGAAACGATGTACGCTTGTATAATTCTTCCCCCATCGCATTCGTTGATATAGGCGGTATCGTTCGCATCATTGTTATTGATCCCTTACTACAGAATTCGGAATATTTCGTTTTTATTTTATGGTGTTACTTATACAGGGCTGTAACCTCTACGGTAAATCAATATCATAACTAGCGAATTCTGGGTTGAGTGTTTTAGGAAAAGCCTTTCAGATAAACCGTGAATTGCTTTTTGCGTAACATGTACCATTTGACTACGCATGATTGCCCTTCATATTAGACTCTTCTCCAATGAGTTAACTTTCGAGATAAACAACAGTCCTACCGGCAATCGTCATCCTGCAGTGTATACCAGAAGAGCTGTTCCCAAGTGGCGCACAGCAGTAATAGAAAGGTACAAACACACAGCTAAAGAAGAAAGAAAAATAAATCAATAAACATTGATTTCTGCCGCAGGTTATACTTTTTCATCATTTTACACAGTATGACTGCGATTTCTGTTCACCTTTGCAACTCTGTCGGACTCAGAAGTGTTGCTCCTGTGATAGCTATGGGGGGTAACTCATGGAAGGTATCCTAGGGAAATGGTGGTTTGGAACTTTGACGCAGACTTCTAACCGGCGGCCTAACTCTTACCGATAAAAATAAACACGACTAAAAGGCGACGTTAACAAACAATGCCTACTTAACTGAAGCAAGTAGCAAGTCTTTACTAAACACTTTCCAGTCTACAAAGTCCTCAGTATACCTGAAGACTAAAAGCATTATCCAGTGAGACAATATGGCCAGCGAGTTTTACCCTTGAGCATGCAATCAAACGGGTGGTGGAGAAACGTGGCCGGAGCATTTAGTATTGTAATATTACACACGGCATAAAGTGATGTATATTTAGTCCGCTAGGCGGCCATGCAAGCCATCCCTACCGTATAAGATGCTAAAAAAAGCCAATTGAAGCCTATAACCTTGCATTTCGGTAAACAAACACAGCGTTTATTCTGAATATCGCTGCATGAAGCTATAAAACGAGTCTGTCGCCTTTAGCATCAGGCGAACGTTTTGAGAACTTCATATAACAGGCTTCTAATAGAGTGATACACATTGCTTACTCAAAATAGACTTTTATTTATATTAGAATTCCGGTGTCGCTGCGCCTTCCGGCTAATTGTTATCACCAGTTAACAATCTGCAAAAATATGTCATAAAGGGGAGCTCTACGTGGTAACTCGGTAGACTGTGTTGCGTAATTCTGCCGTTTGACCGTCAGCCATTGGCCTTCGCCACACCTAAGCTCTGGACGCATGTCCGGCAGACCAAAGTGTCCGTGGTTTAATAGTTACGATTTTAGGTTTGATAACGCTCGAGATCTACAGAATACGGGAATCGGGTTCAGGCGTGTCCAAAAAGCAGGCTGGTTTATGGCGTGTTGACG